ATTGCCTATTGAAGGTTTTTGCTTTATTGATATAAAGATCCAAACTCAAAGCTATAATCCATGATCTTCTGCAGTAAGAACTTCAGGCCCTCTTTGTTTTCAGCAAACAAGGTTGTTCCATCTGCAAAATGTAGGTTGTTGAGTTTTCCTCCAATATTGATGCTATCTGCTTCATATAATACAACTTCTTCAATTATTTGCTCAGCATACAAAGAATACACACCATACTACAAATTGTTCTTTCTGATGCATTATTTGTAATAGAAAAAGTATCCAGTAACAGAAACAAGTTAAGACACAAAAGATGACTCTCAACTCATGACTGTAAAGTTGGAACTGATTTTTAGCTGACCTTCCAACAGATTTCTGAGACTCTAAATTACACAGAAGGAGACTGCCCACCATTCTCCTTGGAACTGCTGATGGATTTGAACCACGAGAGAGATTTGGTTATTGTGTTATCAGTGCAACTTTGTATGGACTAGGCTACCAGAACTCCTTTTTACACCTACTAGGAAGACTATAATGAAAGATACCTAACTAATGTTGGCAAGAATCTGTAAGAAAAAGGAATTTTTTTTATGTATTGCTTTGGGAAATGTAAAATAGTGCAGCCACTGTGTAGAAGAGTCTGATAAGTCTCTCAAAGAATAAAAAGAGTTAAATGACCCAATATTTCTAGATTTAGATGACTCAGTATTCCTAGGGAGCGCTGCTGTCATAATGGCAAGAAGTTGTGCTTCTAGCCTAAAGACATGTGGTTTGAATCCACCAGCTGCTCCATGGCAGAAAGATGGACAATCTCCTCTCATGGGATTTGCTGCCTCTGAAAACTTTCTGGAGGGTCAGCTATGGGTTGGTCTCAAGCAGAGGGTACATAACAACAATAACAACAAATTCATAAGTTTATCCTTAAGAGAAATGAAAACATATATCCATACAAAAACTTGTATGTGAATATTCATAGCAACTTGAAGAGCCAAAAAGTGAAAACAAGTGTTAATCTATCGATGGATAAAATGTCATACAGTGGTTTATTATTCAGAAATAAAGAAATGAAGTGCTAATACATGCTATGACAATACATGTGTTAAAATAAGTATGAATTTTGGAAGTACTGTGATAAGTTGAAGAAATCAGTTACAAATTAACATATATATGTTATATATGTTTCCATATATAAAGCGTTTCCTAAATAGGCAGACTAATAGGACAAAAAGATTGATAGTTGCCTAGGGCTGAGACCTTTGAGGGGGGAGTTGATATTAACTAATATGTATGAAATTTCATTGTGCACTGACGAAATTGTTGTAAAAATTGCTATAACGATTGTACATATAACTCTTTGAATATACTAAAAACCATTGAATCATATACTTAAGTGAAGGAAAAGCATGGTAAACAGATGCAAAAGTAGAGTTAGCAAATGTAAGACACTGGTTATAATCTATTATATAGTAATGCAATTAAAAAAAAAATCAAAGCTAAGCCCGGTGCTATTCAGTCAATTCAGACTCATGCTTACCCCATGTGTTTCAGAACAGAACTCTGATCTCTTAGGGAACCCTGGTAGCTTAGTGGGTGAGGAGTTGTGCTGCCAACCCAAAGGCAG